TATCTGCAGATGGGTTCCTATAGTTTGTTATTTGGGAACGGTAGCTCCATGCTACTAACGTAGCTCGGCCGTTTACAAAAGACTGTGTGTTGTGGACTCTGTGTTGGACTCTGGTGTTGTGGACTCTGTGTTGTGGGACTCCTGCTGTTGGACTCTGTGTTGGCTCTGTGTTTGTGGACTCTGTGTTGGACTCTGTGGTGTTTGGACTCTGTGTTGTGGACTCTGGTGTTGTGGACTCTGTGGTTGTGGACTCTGTGTTGTGGACTCTGTGTTGGACTCTGTTGTTGGACTCGTGTTGGACTCGTGTTGGACTCTGTTGGACACTAGAAACATCCTTTGGGTTTCACTGAAGGTGAGACTGGTTCGAAGTACTATGTCCCAAAGTTTCTCTGCTAACTGGGAGGATAATTCTCAGTCTAAGTTCATGTAGTCACATATGGACCAGAGGCTGGATCACAGAGTCCACCTTAGGTACCTTGGATGTGACTCATACGTGCCAGATATTTCTCCATGATTATGTGGCTCTCTGTGTGAATTCCCATCCACGTTGAACTCACGTCGAGGCGACGGGAGTTCTTCCTGGAATTTAACTGAAGAGTGAACAAACGAGACAGAGCTGAACGGGAAACATTGTCACCGCATCGTTTCTTCCAGTCCTCTTCAGGTTTCTCTGTAATCCTCTCAGGCATGAGAGCAATCCAGCTCAATCCAGACTCAAATCAAACCAAATAAACTTCCTCCATCGACCACTCCCAACGAAGCAGGCAATGTCCTCTGAATTTATATTATCTTGTTAATTTACCTCAGAGAACCTTTTAACTGATGGGGAGGGAACGGGTCACAATCTTCCGTCTGCTGGTGATGTGAGACCAGATTAGGAAAATAACCAACAAAGAGGAACACCAAAAACAACACAAAGAGACACAAAATGAACCCTACAGAATGATGCCAAAACGACCACAAAGAGTTTTAAAGTGACTACAATGGAGGTTCCTTCAATTTGGTTTGATCTTTGACTCTCTGTGTTGGAGCGGCTGGTGGTTTCAGGGTAATTGTGGGGGTTCAGGGTCCGTCGTGTGAACAGACTAACTCCATCATTCTTTTCTTATTTTGAATCACTTCAGTTCTTTCATTTTACAGAAGAGGCAAACCTGTAACTCCACTTTAGACTGACCAGGACAGAGTTCTCCCAGCGCCAAACATTGGAGGAGAAGAGGATTTATGAATCTGAATCCCTTAAATTTCGGAGCTTAACACGTCGTCTGAACATCCTTCAGCCTGACAGGAGGCTTCAGCAGGACTCAGCAGCAGGACGTTAAAGCTGCTGATCCAGGCTCACACATTAGGAGACACACCATGGAGAAATCACTTCAGTTAGCATGAAGCAGTACGGATTTGGTCAAAGCTGAAAACAAACTCTCGTGTAGCCCGCTCCAAGGTAAATTTCTGATATATAATGTTCTCAGTGACAGAGGAATAACTTCTCCCCTAACAGTCCCCGACAAAGCAGAAAGTTTAGTTGGGAGTTAGAATATGAAAGATAAAAACTCAAGCAGTTTGAGGACGACGCTTCCATGAAAGCTGTGATGGTTCGATTAGCGACTCATTATCTGTCCGGGCTTTGATGTCGGCTCCAACTGAGCTCTCGATGTCTTTGAAGCTTTAGTTTGTAACTCCAAGGGAAACCAGCTCATTTACGCGCCACTAATTCAACGACAATCCTCTGATTCTGTGGCTGATTGGACTGACGCTAATGAGCTTCTTTTTTTTTACTTCAGGAAACTTGTTGATACGTGGCGGACTGTTTCTGTCCCACAGGGTGAAAATAGTACCAAAAAACAGGATTCTCTAATGTTCCACTGCCTCGACCTCAGATACCCGATCCAAACCGCCCTTCCACATTGGGGTAACTCAGTTACTTATATATAATAAAGTACTAGTGTTTTCTTAGTACAACTATTAGAGGATAGACCAAGAATATATCTATAACTGATCAAACCATTTCCAGTTTGAAGATTTTCTGTTTTACATTTAAAAGTCAGTTTAACCACTTTAAGATCACATCCTCAGTTATATGCCCCCTATTTAACAACTTATGCCAAAAAACGTACAAAAACAAACTGATAAAATAACAAAGTGACGCATGAACAACTTGATCTCAACCATATTATATATTCCTTGACATCACTACATTCACCCGTCAATCAATATTTATCTTCTATGAACTTTTAGCGACACAGAGCAAAGATTTATTAGTTAGCTCACTGATTACTGTACAAACACACAACTTTATCAGTGATTTGGGTGAAACTGGATCAGATTTTATGGAGAGAATATTGGCTCCGCTAACTGCTAATGTAGCTGCTGTTAGTGTGCAACTGAACGGGGCTCAGCAGCCTCACAGTGAACACAGCCTCAGAGACAGACAGAGGACAGCGGTACCGAGGTGATTATTGGAGTTTCCAGATGGACTCGTTGCTAAAAGAAGCTACCTGTTGTAACGTTAGATGCACAGTCTCAGGAAACCAGAGACTGTTGTGTGACCACATCTGTACAGAGACCTGATCCATCAACATCCCGGAGCCTCGACAGGCGGACGAGTTCAGATCTGACAGAACGAGAGGAGGCGAGTCTGTTTCCATCGGTCATACTTGGTGCTCAAAGGCAGTCCGACTGTATGGACTCTGTTTGTATGTGAAGATGAAACCATGTTATCATCACTGTCTTGTTATATAAATATCTGTATTTTTATTTTCTATGTTCTTCTATAAATGTAATTTCTTTTTCTGAGTGGAGCCTGAAGGAACTTCTACAACCTTGTGCTGTTTAATCTATTTGATTAATAATAATAAAACCTGTTCAGTGTTTGAATCCTCAGCTCTTCCTGCAGATCTCACAGCAACTTATAAACCACATCAGACATTAACAGCAACACGGTGCCACCTACTGCTCGTACAGCTGTTTACACACAGCAGTATATATGCAGACGTGTGTGGTTGCAAAGGGCCCCTGAAGCCACCAGGGGGCCCCAACTGCCAATGTCATCCACAGACAGTAGAATATATATATATATATATACACACACACAGAATATGATGAGGAGTAGCAGCTTTTACATATTAATTACCCTTTAAAAAAACTCTGTGTGCTCTGGTTTCTGATTTCAGGAAAAACATTTAAGTGTTGGAATCTTTAAAATCACTGCAGGTTGTATTTAATGTTGGCTGAATTAAAGAATGTGTGAGGAGTGTTAAGAGTGATCTTACTGACAGATTAAAATGAAGACAGCTTAGATTCATTCTCACAATCTGTTTATTTAAAGACACCAAACAACGAGCATTAAAAGCTCTTTTACACGAGTGACTTCATCTTCATCACCCCGTCCTCCTCCAGCAGGTCTGGGGATGGACATCAGTCCGTTTCCATGGTGATGTCGTGGTTTTTCAGACCCCCCAGTAACTGTACTGGTCCAGCTGTGACATGTGTGCTGGTGGTAAATATAGTTTATAGATTTAGATATAGATATAGAACAGGACAGGTTAATATACAATGAATGATTGTCTCCTCCCACCTCCTCTATCCTCTGTCCTCCTGCGGGCCTGCAGCCTCTTTCAGCCTCCGTCCACCTCCTCCGTCCACCTCCTCCGTCCCTCCTGTCAGCCCGCAGCCTCCCTGAGCCTCCTCAGTACCTCCTCCGGACTGAGAGAGGAGTCCACTCTGATCAGCTTGTCTCTGGATCTGGAGCCCTGCAGGAGACAGGAGACAGGAGACAGGAGGTGAAACAAGGAAAGGAAAGATGGTGTAAAGGAGGTGAACTAGAAGGAGAATACGTTTATCAGGAACCTTGTCCAGAGATACGTGACTTTTCTTCAGCTCCAGGACTTCAGCCAGGTAGCGAACCAGCTCAGCGTTTGCTTCTCCGTCTGTTGGCGGCGCCGCGATGGAAACTCCCACCGCCTCAGCAGAGACGTCTGCAGCAGCAGGAGAAAGGAGGTTAGAGTTCAGCTGAGGATCAACAGTCTGCCATTAGAATCGTGTGGAGGTGACCTGTGATGCCGCTGTGCTTGGATCCGGGCTTCGCGTGCACCGTTATGGTAACAGCGCCGCTTTTGTCTCGAGCCACCGGACAGGAAGCTTCCGCCTCTGCTGCTCCACCGACGGGCGGCCGACCTTTCACCTGTGGGACAGAATCAGTGTGAAGCTTTAAGGTTTAACTCAGGTACTGTGGCTGAGGGCAGGTACACGTCATTACACTTTATTATTAAAAGTTCATTTTTTTATTTACCCTTTTATTTAAGTCATATATGTATTATACGTCATTATACTTTCATTATACGTCATTACACTTTGGATTATAAGTCATTATACTTTATTATAAGTCATTATACTTTATCCATAAGCTCATTATACTTGATTATACGTCATACACTTTATTATAAGTCATTATACTTGGTTGATAACAGATATTGATTAGTAGTGATCAAAGAAACCGATATTTGGTGGTGATGTACATTTGCAGTAAAGGGATGTTTATGCTCACTGCTGCGCCTGAAAACATTAAAGTGTAAGATTTGTGAATGGAGTCTGGCATTGTGCTGTGAACAGAGCATCCACTGCACATTTAAACATTGTAAACTGTCTAACACTTATAATAACTAATCATAATTAATATGTAATTTAGCACAAAATACAGCTGAATTTAATCCTTAACACTGAACAGAATTCAACTTTAAATGTTGCTTCTGCAACTATCAGTTTGGATTTTAATTGAAGGGTTATTTAAGTGAACTGTTCCTTTATATGAAGGAAACATTAATATAATTAATATTAATAATGATATATATGAAGGAAAATATAAAGGATTCATTATTTATAATAAGATGTGTGTGTTTAGATTATGGGATGGTTTTAATAGATGGTTGTATGTTTAAGCTGTCACAAACCAAACTCCATTGAAAAAAACATTTTAAACATTTTATTAAAAACATACTAGATATATATATAATATAATAAAATATAATATAATAAAGTATAAAATATTATATAATAAAGTAATTAATCATAATATAATATACATATAAGTATAAATAAGTATAATAATATAGATATAATCATAATAAATATAAAATATAATATAAATAATATATAATAAAAATAATATATATAATAAAGTTATAATATAATATAATAGTAAGAAATATAATACAGGTATAATATAAATTAACCATAATATAAGTAATAATCATAATATAATATAGATACCAATATAATATAATAAAACGATATATAATATAAGATAATAAATAATATAAATAATATAATATAACAAAAGTATATAGTACAATATAAGTGATAATATAATAAGAGTATAATATAATATACTAAGATCATATTAATATAATAACTATAAATATATAATATAATACAGTATAATAGAGACATCAATATATAGTAATAATAATATATAATATAATATAAAAAAGATATAAATGAAAAAAAGATAATATAATATAATATATATAATGATAATAAAGTCAATAATAATATAATCATACTAAAAATAATAAAAATAATATAATATCAAATATAATATAATTAATAAAGATATATATCAAAGTAACAATATAGGCATATACATAGTAATATAATATAATATAATAATAATATAATATAATAACACCTCCCCGCCCAGCTCACCGCTTCTCTTTTTTGTCCACTTCTTGTGTTTGTGGGAAGAACTTCCCATACCTAACCGGGTACATTCCTGAACCGTAGTATACCTTCAACCTGCGCCGAACAACCTTTGGTGTCATGTCACGACCGTTCAACTCACCATCTTCAAACCACTAAATATTTCAATAATCGAAAAAGTCTCCGGTAAACATAAACCAAGATCTTTAAAGACATCCACCATCTCTAGCTTACTAGGACTGGGTTGATATGCGGAAATACCTGTACATTTAAACCACCTAATTTCCGGCTTTTCAAAATACAATCACTCCGATGTCTTCAAAATAAAAACCTCATATTGGGCAACGTTTGTTTCTAATTTTACATCATATAGAAATCACTTCAAATGGTACAATGATTATATTTATTTAAATATGTAAAAATCAATCCATATTATGTTTCTGTAAAATATTCATTTTTTTATCTTTATTGGACAATCCATCAACATATAGGGCCTAAAATATATAAAATTACTATTGTAAAAATTTCACTAGAAATGGTCTTCCCTAATATTGAATAATCATATTATTTTATTTTTTTCACTCACAATTAGAATAGTTAAGGAAAGAGCAGTTGAATTTGGTTCATATTTATGTAAAAAGACACTATACATAACTCCAAAATATTATGAATAATTGATGAATTACAAACGGATGGCATTTTTTCACAAGATTAGTCACTTCCTTTTAGGAAACATTTTCATATAGACTTATTATTGCTCATATAAATAATAGCTCCTGGGGATGCTCACTGGTGAACTTCAAAAATACTGCAACAAATTAAAAATAGAGGGAAAAATAATAAACTACAACAATAACAACACTGTACAGTAAATGTCTAATATTTCTCACTAACGTCTCAGTGGACGTAAGAATCCGAAAAAAAATATCACATGATCCCACCCAGATGTCAGTAAAAAAAAACTGCTATATAATTATTGTGGTAGGTTCTGACCCTGTGTCCTTATTTCTGTCAGTTGCTTAATGAGACTTTCTGGGGGTTCACTTAAGTGTTCATGTGTTTTTTCTTTGGCCTTCCCGCCAATAACTCTGACTTTATTTCCTTTAAGTTTTTGCGTTTAATGCATGCACTGAGTGTCGATGGGTTCCCCTCCTCGCGACCGTCCCATTCAGTAAAGAAATTACGCCTGCACGACCGCCCCACTGGGAGCCAGCTACATACCTCCAGAAAAATGAATAAAACAACCTGGAGCGCAATGAAACACCAGAACCAGGAGGCAAGGACGGCTCGTACCTGTGGGAGGAAGACTACGAAGAGATTACTCTGTTGTCTGTTTTATCACAACAATGCTCCGACTGACAGCTGCCATTAAACTAAACACTCCAGTTCACATCCTGCGGAGGTACAGGGCACTAACCTGCAAGCTCCAGAGACATACAGACAGTGAGGACATACTGACAGTGAGGAACACGGGGACAGAAGGACATACAGACACCAGACTACAACAGTGAGGGGACATAACTACATGAGAGACCACACCTGTACATGAGGACACACTACAGTAGACATACAACAGTGAGACATACAGACAGTGAGGACATACGACAGAGGACACACTGACAGTGGACATACAGACAGTGAGACAATACAGACATGAGGGGACATACTGACCAGTGAGACCACACTGACAGTGAGGACAACAGACAGTGAGGGGACATACTGACATGAGACACCACAGACATGAGAACACAGAAATTGAGACATACTGACAGTGAGACAATACTGACATGAGACACAGGAGGACATACTGACAGTGATGCAACATACAACAGTAAGGACACACAGCATAGGACACACAACAGTAAAGGACATACTACAGTGAGACATACAGGACATGAGTACATACTACAGTGAGACACAGTGGAGGACATACTGACATGAGACATACAGACAGTAAGACACCAGACATTAAGGACACACAAGACAGGTACACACCTGACAGTGAAGGAATACAGACAGTGAGGGACACACAATTGCAGTGAGGACGCACCAACAGTGAGAAATACAACAGTAGGACATACTGGACAGTGAGGACATACAGACAGTGACGACACACAGACAGTGAGAACACAGTGAGACCACAACAACAGTGGTCACACATAACAGTGAGACATACAACAGGAGACATACAGGTAAACATAAACTATAACAAATCACTATCTCATAATAACCATAAAATCCTTGTTATAACATAAATATTACGTACACGTGAATATATAAACACATAATACGTTTCAGAATAATTTGTGCAAAAAAAAATTTCTGTATATTAATAATAATACTTATTTAACACCTTTTAAATGATTTCAAAATCATAAACATATATCTTTAAGATAAAAATAACAATAATAGACAGAAAGAAGCCATAAAAATAAAAATAAATAATAAATTGAATAAAATCAATGCATAAAGTAACAAATATAAATATAGTAAATTTGCTTTAGGTGCAGAGAAAAATGCAACTTAACATAACATACAATATATAACAATATATAGAAAAGAGATGTGTTTTAAGTTTAGTGTAATAGTTAATTAACTATTATAATTGTACAAATACTTCATTTACCCAATACCCGGAAAACCAATTAAATTTAGAGCCTTGTTGCGATCAAATATTATGCTTAACATGTGAAATTAATAAAATTGCATTCCCCCAGTTTGACGAAACAACAAACCAAATCCACTGTTCCCTTACACGCGCCTAGCGTACCTTTAGCTCTTTTTTTTTGCGTTGCTGTTTTTCCTTTCAGTTTTAAATGAATAACCACATCGAGGCTCTGACAAACATACACTGACGAAAAACTCTATTTAAAAAAAACTTATTGTTCTGAAACTTTGTCTGCAGTTTCC